TTACTTTCGCCTGTTACCCCCAATGGAGCATAGGCCGCCCACCAGTTTTCTCCAACCAACTCTGTCCTGGGCTTCCCTCTCCAGTTCTGTCCAATGTTTGTTCATTCCTCTCATATCTTTCTCTATTTCTCGGCGTAGTGTGTTCCTTGGCCTTCCTCTTTTCCTTTTGCCTTCAGGGTTCCATGTGAGGGCTTGTCTAGTGACGCAGTTGGGTGCTTTTCGTAGTGTATGTCCTATCCACTTCCACCGCTTCTTCCTGATTTCCTCCTCCATTGGAATCTGACTTGTTCTCTCCCACAGTTCGTTGTTGCTGATGGTGTCTGGCCAATGAATACGAAGTATTTTGCGTAGACAACTGTTAATAAACACTTGTATCTTCTGGATGATGGCTTTGGTAGTTCTCCAAGTTTCCGCTCCATACAGTAGAACTGTCTTGACATTTGTATTGAAGATCCTGATTTTGGTTTTGTATGAAAGTTGTTTGGAGTTCCAGATATTTTTCAACTGTAGAAATGCAGCCCTCGCTTTACCAATCCGCGCCCTCACATCTGCGTCCGATCCACCTTTCTCGTCGATGATGCTGCCAAGATATGTGAAGGTGTTAACGTCCTCCAAGGTATCTCCATCAAGCGTGATTCGGTTGGTGCATGTTGTGTTGCATCGGAGAATTTTGCTTTTTCCTTTATGTATGTTGAGACCTACTGCTGCAGAGGCTGCTGCTACACTGGTCGTCTTCTCTTGCATTTGTTGTTGAGTGTGCGATAGAAGAGCCAGGTCATCTGCGAAGTCCAGATCGTCCAGCTGCGTCCTAACTGTCCAGTTGATACCGTGCTTCCCTCCAGATGTTGACGTCTTCATAATCCAGTCGATGACCAGGAGAAAGAGAAAGGGTGTAAGCAACCTTGCCTCACACCGGTCTTCACCTCAAACGAGTTTGTCAGCTGACCTCCGTGCACGATTTTGCAGTTGAATCCATCATAAGAATTCCGTATGATGTTGACTATTTTCTCAGGCACCCCGTAGTGTCGAAGAAGCCTCCACAGTGTTTTCCTATCCACGCTATCGAATGCTTTCTCGTAGTCGATGAAGTTGATGTAGAGTGGTGAGTTCCATTCAATTGATTGTTCCACAATGATCCGTAATGTAGCAATTTGGTCAGTACATGATCGATCCTTACGAAATCCAGCCTGTTGATCTCGAAGTTGGGCGTCTACGAAGTCCTTCATTCTGTTTAACAATACTCTGTTGAAGACTTTGCCTGGTATTGAAAGAAGAGTGATGCCTCTGTAGTTCTCACACTTGCTGAGATCGCCTTTCTTTGGTATTTTGATCAGGTATCCTTCTTTCCAATCTGATGGTACTTGTTCCTCATCCCAAATCTTCTTGAAGAGAATGTGAAATATTTTCGCAGTTGCTTCCACATCTGCTTTCATTGCCTCTGCTGGAATGTTGTCTGGTCCTGCTGCTTTGCCGCTCTTGATTTGTCTGATGGCCATACTGATCTCCTCAATCGTGGGTGCGCCAATATTAATTGGGAGGTCCGTGGATGCTGCTTCGATGTTGGGTGGGTTCAGTGGAGCTGGTCGATTCAATAGTTCCTGAAAGTGCTCCACCCACCTATTTCGCTGTTCGTCAGTGTTGCTGATTATTTTCCCTTCCTTGCTTTTCACTGGTCGTTCTGGTTTACGATAGTTTCCGGCGAGCTTCTTTGTAGTTTCGTACAATTGTCTCAAGTTTCCTTCTCTTGCAGCCTTTTCCGCCGTCATTGCTAGATCTTCCACATATTTTCGTTTGTCAGCTCTGATGCTCTTCTTCACTTCCCTGTTTGCTTCTGTATACTCGGCTTGCGCCTTAACTTTCTCTGCTCTTGTTCGGCAGACATTGATTGCTGCCTTCTTGTTCCTCCTTTCTTGAATTTTTTCAAGAGTACCAACAGAGATCCATTCCTTGTGATGGTGCTTCTTGCGACCAAGGACCTCCTGACATGTTGAAGTGATTGCCTCCTTAATCCCTTTCCAATTGTTCTCCAATGTTGCTTCCTCTCCATTGAGTAGATCCTGAAAGGCCTGGAACCTATTGGTGAGGGCTATCCTGAATTCGTTGAGCTTTACAGTATCCCGAAGAAAGGCCGTATTAAACTTGTGTGATGTTGTCTGCCCCGTTGTCCAGTGCTTCTTTAGCTTCAATCTCATTTTGGCGATCAGCAAGTGGTGATCTGAAGCTATATCAGCTCCTCTCTTGGTTCTCACATCCTCCATGGTCCTTCTGAACTTTTTGTTGATACAGATATGGTCAATTTGGTTTTGAGTTGTGTGATCCGGTGAAATCCATGTGGCTTTGTGAATGCGTTTGTGCGG